ATTTATGAGGACGCGAATTATGTAAAACGAAAAAGAATCCTTCGTTCGAGCACATGATCTTCCAAGCACATAAGAGAGATTCGAAGGACGAATATATCACTAAGACAGTGGGAGAAATCGTAGTCACGGATAATATCAGTGTCATACTTGTCGCAATTCGCGTCTCATCAGAAATTTTAACGCGCGAGATTTTGTTTTCTCGATAATTTGGAAATTAAAATCGCGCGTGCAAGAAAAAAATGTTAAACACGTCGTCGTTAAGAATAGGATATTACGAATTATCGTTGAGATAGCGATGTCAGCTGACTTGAAATTCATCATTTTGAAACTTCAGCAACAAAAAGCAGATTTATCGACCTACATGTCCCCCGCCTCTCTTCTTTGTCTTGCCGACTTTTTTCCCGACGTGGCCACGTCACGCGGCCCCCAGGGCCCAGACCCCTGTCCTCTACGGGAGATTTATGCTGCCGACATTGAAACTAAATTACGCTATAAATTAACCTTAAATTCGTGCTTTCGATGCACCGCGACCTCCCCGTCTTACCTCGTTCCCGGAGTTTTACTTCGGCTTCGTGTCCGTCCACCTTGGCAGCACGTCTGATTTCCTATCTCTTCTCTCCCTATCCCCTCCTCCGTAATTTTTTCTGTTTTATACGCATAATTAAATGAACATAATTAAGTGAAACATTTGTCTGAATTCGTGACAGCTCTCTCCGATTTAGGCCGTCTCAGAGTCAACTGATTCTCGTAATTGACATTTTAATCATAATTGACGTCTTCGGGGATTCGTGAATTCTTCATGAAAGTTGCATTCGATCGTTTTCCTTAATTTGGATCTCCCGACGCTATTCTCGACGACAATTGAGATCGTAACCAAAAGACGATCTTTTTCGCATTACAAATCTTTTTGAATACGCAATATTCATTTAAATTTCATCAGAATTTCTTATCACTTATTCGGTTTGTAATCGCAAATGCATTAATGAATCGCGAAATACAACCAATTACGATCAGCAAAATACATGTTCTCTTTCCAATTTTCCGAAAGAAATTATTTCACTATCATAAATCAGATTCAACAGAAACTAGTATAATCGCAGAATTTGCAGTACCGCCAAATAACGTGTGCGGCGAAACTGTGCAAACGCAATTAGTCCGCGCTCGGAAAATTTGTCAATCCCGTGTATCAGTTTGACCGTTTCAATTAAAGATAATCGAAACAAACTAGCTGGTGAGTTTACACGGGATACATCGCGTGTGCTGTTTACGTAAAAAGCGTTAAATTCGCCGATGCAATCGTATTTTACAACATCAATATTTTGATCTCCGTAATATCACGCGAGCATTCAAAATTCACACTTACTATTCTTTGCATTTTCAACAAAAATATTTATATTAAATGAATCAAAGATCAAGAGCGAGCGAAGTTTTAAAAGTCAGATCTTAAATGAAGTACGTACTCCGCGCAAGAATGCAAAGACGTTCATCGATTTGCTACGATTTCAATGGCGATTTTAACAACGTTTTTAATGAGCGCTCGTATACGAAATTTACGATACGTCAGAGTACCGTAAGATCGTTATCGGTATAACTTCATCCGTCGACGCGGTAGACCCTCAATGTGTCACACATTCGTCTACACGCCGGATTCCTTTGACAGATCTGCATCCCGTTAGGACTGCACCAAAGCTGAGTGTAATTTACGATTGGTGCGCGCGACGCAATGCGTACTTACACGTGAACGTACGTAAAGCCACATGGGATAACTGCAATTACGCATAAATGTAATATCGAGATAAGCTGTGAACTATTGCTCAAGTAAGATGTTTAACTGACCTAAGTAGCACCAGTATGTGCTTTCATAAATTTTGTAGTAAATAGTATTCTCTTTAATGAAAAATACTCTCAAAGTGTTTAATTTAAAAACATAAAAATATAATTTTTTTAACCCTTCGTGGAGAGACCTCAAAAATGACTAGTTGGACAGATTCTGCTCAACAATAAACAAAAAAGTCTGTGAGACTCACGCAACTTTAAAAACAAATATCTCAGCGAAAAATAAATATTTTTTCAAGTTTGTTTTTTTTGAATTGGAAATTTAAACAATACTGCGCCAAACAAAACAAACAAACAAACAAACAAACAACAAACACCGGATTTGAAATTTTTGAGTGGGTCTGGAAGATCCATGTCTGTCCGCGAAGAGTTACGTCTCGTATGTATTTAATAATGTATTTTTCAGAAAATAAATTTAAAACAAAAAAAAAGAGTAGCTTTCTTCCGGACCAGAAACTTTATTTCTTTTCTTCTTTAAAAAGGTGTTGCTTCCTGCAAGGGTGGCGAATCGAAAAAAGCGTTGGATCGATAATAGGATGCTTTATTAATAAAAACAGAAAAGAATCAACAGAACGCGTGTGTGACCGTCAGGTACAATTTATCGTACGTAAAATTAATGCACGTCGCGTGCAAAACGTAACATCGAATGCATGAAGATGATCGCGAAGACGCGATTATCTCGCCCTCCCGAAAGAGTGAGAGAGAGACAGAGGGAGAGAGAGAGAGCACATATATCATCTATTTATATATAAATACGTATACATATATATATATGTAATATATGTATGTATATATTTTATTTAATATGTCATGTGTAATGCGTGTGTATATATGTTGCGCATGAGTGAGCATAACAACTTTCGACTACGATTAGTTACGATTGCTACGAGGCAAAGGAGAGTCGTCATGTATTCCGTGTGTGAGCTCTGTTAGTACGTACGCGATATGTTTGGTAACTGGTAAAGTGTAAGACTAGTGTTAATGTAAGAGTTTCACAATGTAGCGCCTAAGGTATATACGGGAATGCTTTACACGGAGCGCGTTACAAAACCTCGAATCGGCAACCGTCATGACCCCTTTTTCGAGAGAGTCCGCGGAAACGGAAAAACTGGGAGAGAAGCCGTCGCCAGAGTCTCTTCTCTCTCTCGATACGTCGCGGAAGTTCGGTGTTTTTACGCTTCGCGACATTGTTCGAACGAAGAAGAAGTTTGTTCGAGGAATGAATAGAAATTTGTAGCGCGTGAAAGAAGAGGACGCGCGCCACGTTACAACTGTACGTGTAACCACGTACGACTGTACGTGAAAAAGAATCAGGAGAATCGAGAAATTCTGCTGCTGGCGATTGGCTTTTGCAATACACAACTGAATTCTATGGAGCGACGATGTTCGCGTTAAATAAGTATATCGCATAGTAAAGAAAGGAAATTGAGAACGAAAAGTTCCAATATCGACTTAAAATAAGTATGTCTGAGAGAAAGAGAGAGAAAGAGAAAGAGAGAAAGTTATGAGCGTTGAAGCTATTGATTCGCGTCATATAACTCTTAGCATAATAAATAAGGTGGAAATACGCAACTACATTTCTTCAAGTACTAAATATCCTTTTTGATCGTTTTCGCATCTCGTTTCTGCAATTATAGAACAAGAAATATACGATACTAACGAGAAATCTATTCTCAATATTCAAATCTATAAATTACATCGATAACCGTTGGATATTGTACAGAATATCTTAGAAACACTGCAAATTTTCTTCCGCGGAAAGAAGAAACAATTTTAACGTAAATTTATATTTGCAGCTACATTTTATTGTAGTTTTAAGTTCAACAAATTTTATTTTAGGATATAAAGCTCAATCCCGTTAAAAACTTGACAAAATCAAAGATTAATTGAAATCAGTGTGTAACTCAATTTTTATTTGTAAATTTGCTGAGAAAAATCTGCCGTGCTGAGACATTCCATATTCCTCTTTCTCAACTACTTGCCGTACAACGGTAAATAATGTTGCATGCATACAATACACGATCGTAAGCTTCGCGACGTAATTATAATAAGCGATCGACCGATCCGAGACATGATTTTGTGTTGTTCAATAACAGCTCCGTGACAATCATCAGCAACAAATATCGGAGTTCGCGATATAATCCACATTGAATATTTAGATTGCGAAAGAAAGCGCGACGAGACGTACTTACGGATTTGAGTGCCGTAAACTAGCGAGTGTGAAATGCGAATACCGATTCGTACACTTGCCGCATTTGCGATCGCGATAGCCGTCGTGTCGAGGATGCAAACGCGCGATCTGAATCGCTGAGCGATCGTTTATTGCATGCAGACGCATGTGACACACGCGTATATGTAATTATGTTTCTATAGATATATTTATGTATATATATATATATATATGTAATGTTATGTATACTGGCACATATGAAATTGGCGCGCTTTTCTCATCGTGGATGAAAGCGTGACAGGTCAAAACTGTCTGGTTGAGCCTCTGTTGACAGCGAGAGATGGTCATCACCGCGAGGTGACAATCGTCGATCTCGGATAAAAAAAAAAAAAAAAAAACGCAATAAAACTGATGCTCTGCTCACACACGCGATTACGGAATAAAATTTCGGAACGATCACAAATTTCAAGCACGGTGAAAAAATTGCGAGATAATAATTTAATATGTATAAAATTTCGAGATATACGTTTTTTGCGATAAACATCACCTTCGGATTGTTTGAAAATTTTCGGAACGCGTGTAAATTTGTGACCATCTGTATATAAACGCGACGGTGAGCTATTGACAAAGATAAAAAAAAGACAATGTTATTAGTTGCGTCGTGCTAATTGCCTCTCATCTCGATTGTTGCGCACGTTATAGCTTCGACGCCGGTCAAAATTAATTGTAACAATTACTGCAAAACTTTAACGAATCCTTCTCTTTTACAGTATGCAAAATATGAATAAAATAAATTACATATATATAAGCGACTTATATAAATATAATAAATTATGTGGAAATTAAATTATTTATAATTATAATATAAAATATATATATGCATCACTATACAATTACACACACACACACACACATAATAATTGTGTAATAAATTATTTCAACATAATTTACATAAATTATCAATAAATATTTAAATTACTAATAAATATTTGTTCTTTGCGTAATATAGTGTAAATTTAATTGTCATTTGTAAATCTACAAAATGCTCGTGTTATTCAAGAGCAATGAGTAAAAAAAAAAGAAATGTATGAAGGCACTCAGTATCACGGAACAATAAACAAAATAATAAACAACGTAAATTTCCGACACCTCGTTTGCCAACGTTTTGAAGTTGCATCCATCTCTCGGGGATAGCTCTGAACATCGAAAAGAAATCTCATACACGAGATCTTGCTGTGAACCTTCAGTGTTTATATCTCGGATATCCGGCGATTTTCGCGACAATCGATTTTTCACCCAACGATTACGGAATAAATCGATATTTCGTTCTCCTAGCGAGTTTTACTTTCTACTTTCGCTATTTATCCCTGCTAGCTTTGCCGCGCAATAAGGGAACGCTCTATTTTGCGAGGCGTTCAGCATCCTGCCTTTGTTCTTCGACAGGAGAACGATCGGTGGATCATTTAATTGATCTCGATGCTCGTGACCGACGACTTGGACGCGCGATGCTCGTCTTTTGTCGAAGGTGACACGGTAAAACCGCTTAGGCCGCTCTCGACCAGACTCATCAGGCTTTCCTGCTGCAGTAACTGACGTTGTTTCTCGGCGCGCGCTTTCTCTTCCAACTTCTTCTTTTCGGCAGCTAGATCGACGATGCCATTCTTCGTATTCTCATGAATCAGCTGATCCAGCTTTGACAGCTGACGCTCGGTCACGCTCTCCACAATCTCGTTGTTCTCCACTGGCACGCCATGCTTGTTTATTGTGGGTTTATAAGTCTTCACCTTTGAGTGACCTTGAATAATGAGATACATCGGACCGCGGATTGGTTTGGCCGGCTGTTTGTAGTGAGAAAAGATCGGATCGGTGGTCAAACTCGGAGCTGTTGTAGTTCGGGGAGGAACTGTCGAGGATGGAACGAGCGTAGTCTTCTCGGTGCTGAAGATCTTCACCAAAGGCAACTGATGATCGTGTCTCGTGCTTTCTTGATGATCCACAGTGTCCATAGTGGATGTCGATTCTACCGATGATGACACTAATGACGACGAGGTGGTCATTGCATTTGCAGTCGTTGTCGGCAATCGAGACGTATGATCGACCGACGTATGCTCGTCAGATTCGGTAGCTTGTGCGTTCAAAGTTGTCGGCGGTGACGGCGGACTGGTGAACGTCACGGGGAACGGCTGCGACGGTCGTTGATGAATTTGTTCCATATTCGGTGACATCACTCCCTTCATAGGTAGCGCGTGTACTTGCGTCATGGGCGGCGACATGTGGAACATCGAAATCGGCGAGGAGGGCCGAAAACCGGGACGCATACTGCCGATTAAGTGCATCATATGATTTGGTCTGTTCTGAGTGCGCAACATATACTGGGAAACTGCTTGTGGAGGGAGGAACATATGCGGAGAGTTTACTATATGTCTTGGAGGCATCATCGGGGAAGATGATAGAGACTGATGAGGAAGCTGCGGGGAGGGCATTATTCTGTTCGGCACGGAGGAACTAGATTGACGATCCTCTTCCGTTGAGATCGGTAAACTCGTTACTGCGTTTCTCATCGGTTGGAATTGAGGCTTCGATGTCTGATGAGTCGTCTTCGTCATCTCAGACGTAACGGGATTCTCCCAAGCGTTGTTGTGGAGCGTTGTCGATGGGTCCGAACTCGAAGTTGTGTTCTTTTCGACGTAGTTCGTCGGCATTACCACGGCAACCGGACCTTTCTTCGCTTTGTGCGTCTCCAAGTCCATAATGCTGGACGGCGAGTTTGCGACCACGATGTGCATCTTTTGCGAAGACTCCGCGTCGGTCACAGCTTCATCTTCTTTCTGCTCAACGGAATCCGCCGTGGTGACAGAAGCGAGAGACGTCTGCGTGATGTTCTCGGACGTTGAAGATGTTGTCTCGCTGCTGATTTCTTTCTGACCCACAACCACTTCTTCATTTTCATTGTTGGTGCCGTCTACGATGATATTCGCATTCTGACCGACAACTACCTCGTGATTGGACGAAGCTGCGGCATGATGATCTTCGTAGTGATCTTTCGAGTAATCCGCGGTTTTCCAAGTGACTTGATTGACATCTGGCGAAAATTCAGTAGAGGAAGATGTGGGCCCGTTGTTGCCAAGCCATCCACCGGACAGAGTTTGCGTCGATTGATAGATCAGGTTAGATTTCTCGAAGGACACAGTTGACGCAGTTGTCGCTTCGTATCTGGATTTGGTGCTTTGCGACGCGGATGGTACGTATACACTTTTGATAGTCTCAATTTTATCTGACGATGGTTTTGACGTGGGGTACGGTCTCGACGAAGACGCGGGAGAATAATGCTCGTAGTCCTTCAAGTGTACTCCGTAATACTGCGTATCCTGAAGAATAGGACCTTCCTCCGTCTGTGTACTGAACGGCTGAGACATGTCGTAACCAAGCACTTTATCCTTGGACGTACCCGTACCGTAACTGGTGGACGTTTCAGCCTTCTGGACCATCGGTGGCGGCATCATCATGGTGTACGGTTTCATTTTCTGGCTGTAATATGGATTTGGGTAATAACTGGCGGGCAACGACTGCAGTCTGTTCTGGTTCCTGTAATCGACCAGGCCGTTTCGGAAGTTGGTGGTACGCACGAGCTTGGGCGGCTCGGCGCCGATGCTACCGGTGAAGTCGTTCCTATACAAGGTCGGATCTTGGCTTGCGGTACGTGTGAATTTGGGCCCATCCACAAACTTGAGAAACTGCTCGGGTATTTTTGGGCTGGTCTTCTTCGCGGTCACGCCCAGCACGAGGATGTCGCGTTTCGATGATGGTTCCGTCGTGTGCTGCTGCTGCGAATCCAGCCAGTATTGCACTCTGTCGAGAACCGGCGGCACGTAGTCAAAAGTTGGACTGTTTTTCAAGGGGTCGCCGCGTCCCAGCGGCGTCCACTCGTCGTAGTCCATTTTGGGAGAGAATATTCGCGGCCGGCTGTCATTCTGGCCTGCGAACAGAAATTTTAAGAGCCGTCGTGACCAATTAAAGTCGACAAGAGTTCACATCGCGGGTTGCAAGGTTGCGGCGACAGAGGAAAAAAATAAAAGAGAAAGAAGGAGAGAGCAGCCAATTACACGTGGATCGGCGCGCGCATAAACGAAACCTTGAATAATGAGCCTTGTCGTCGTGATTAATTGTTTTTAATTTTATTATAGTCCTTCTCCGATGTGCGCGAGTACGCGGCGCTCGCGCGCACACGCTCCGATTGATTTATCCTACTGGCATTACTAACGTCACGATTCTCTAGGCTGCATGAATTTATGGGACACTAGATGCGCACACGCGAGAGAGCCACCAGAGTTAGCTTCGATGAAAATCGACGAGCGCAAGTGCGCGGATAGCCGTGTCGTATAAATTTATGTGTCTCCTGAATACGCGATATCTCGCGCAACTGTTTGTGCGCGCCGGCACTTTCGTTTATAACATCGTCGTCAAGCCCGGGCGAATTATTCGGTATCAATGGCTTCTAACACAGATCGCTCGTTATATACGAATCGATATTCCGAGAGAGAGAGAGAGAGAGAGAGAGAGAGAGAGAGAGAGAAAGCATTTGGCGCTCTGAGATACAATCTTCTCAAGTGCATAACCATTAAATAAACTAGGTAAACAAAAAGTTAAGTACAAACAAAATTCGATCATAAATACAGAAAAAAGTACAAAAGAGAAATATGGAAAAATAGAAAATACAAAATATTTGAAGTACATCCAATGTGTGATAATAAAAATTGAAGCTATCTAGAAGAGCTGTAACAAAAATACCTTAAGGGGTAGAAGACAACAAAAACCAGCTTCACAAGAGAAAGAGAGATGGCCACAATAAAATTCGAGTAGACGACAACTTAAATTCATCTTATCGGAAATTATCTATTCTCGAAGAATGTTTTTCACATTAAACTGTCGAAAAGGTTTTATATACGTCGATAATGTGTGCCAACGTAGAAAAAGATGTATACACATACACACACACACACACACAGAGAGAGAGAGAGAGAGAAATATTAAATATCTCTTCAGTAAATTTTACGAACGGACGGAAACTATAAAAATCAATTTGGTTATAATCACCCTTAGAAAATGATAATTTTAGCATAAATCATTATTTTCTCGTATGTATATCTCGTTTTTTTATAGAGAGAATTGAACGTGTTTGTTCCATATCAACAGAGGATTCTTCTTCCGCGTGGCCGCCAAGAAAAAGAAAAAGACAATGTCGTTTTTATTTTCAAATGCGATGCGAACGGGCGAGCAGCTACCCGAGATAATAACGTTAAGTAGTCCGCGCAACGCGCTCGTCTCCCTGCGTCCAAGCAGGACCGGAAAAGAAAGATCCTGTTACAAAAGTGCAACTCACGTCGGGTTCATATATATGTATTTGGGGGGTTTCAACATACACGGATCTTTATTCTGCGAAATACTCATAAGCGTGCCAATGAAGATCCGTTTCGTTTTGCGGCCCGAAAAAAAAACAGTTACACAATAAAAAACCAAACGGCGCCTTTCTTTTCAACGCGTCGCCGGGAAATGGAGTGCTTAAGCATTGAGAAACATCGCGTTTAAGTGAAACAAAGCGGCGCGATGCGCCTCTGTAACAATCGGTTATCGTCCAACGTGATTGCTATTCTCGATACAACCGTTCGTCGAACGCGCCAATTCGCCTTCCTTGCTCGCGATTTACGAGACCAGCGCGATTAGACGAGTAGAATAAATATAATTTCCGAAGAAGACAAGTATAATTGGCGAGGCAAGAACTTTACGAAAAAAAAAATTTGTCCGGCTTTTCTAGTGGTTAAGTTTTCTGAAACTTTCTAGCGCACAATTCTCGCGCACGAAGAAAAGCAATAGTGTCCGAGAGTGGCTGTAAAGGAATAATGACAAGGTTTTCATTTAATTTTCAGTCGAGACCTTCGGAGTGTAGCGTTACTGTAATTGGCCGCGACGCTCGGCGCCGTTATCGAATGTTGTTCGCGTACGTACGACGATGTAAAATTTCACATGTATGAGACTCGTCGTATACGCGCGGACACGTGAAAATAAGCGACGGTCGATGTTAGATGCGCTCGCGCGTGCACGCCCAGTATCTCACGAGAAAATGTCCCGATAATGAGCCAAGTCGAGAGTGCGGCAGTTTCTTCGGCATTATTCGAGGCAATCGACGTTTCTATCTCTACGCGGCGCGCCATAAACACGCCAGACGTCGGACATTAAAGCGCAGGCCGCAGGTGCACGCGGCGATGCATAATGCGCCGTGTATGCGCATCACTGCGCGCTGACGGAAGTGCCACTGACATCTCAAGTGCCGGAGAAAAATCTCTCGCATCGTAATCGAAGCGGATGCTCGGCTGTGACAACTTTTGAAACGAGAATAAAAATTTTTAAGCAAGCAACGGTGTCGCAAAAACTTTTACAGTAAATTTCGTAGCATTCGATCACAATATTGTATAAAATAAAATGTTGCATTTAATCACAATGTTGTATGCAAAAAAACGAAGAAAATAGACAAGTAATCAACAAAACCTATGACAGACATTACTTGTATCAAACGCGACACTTGTTAATTGCGTAACGCACAAAAGTTACGTGCGTGGCGTCGATGTCAATAATTTTTTGCAATGCTCCATTACGACGACGTTACGTCGGCGGGATGAAAACTGCGAGACATGTACATCGGAATGTTCCGCAGGTAGCCCGCGGGCGCCAGCGTTCTCCAGTCATGTCGCATAAATACTCGTGTCATCCGCCCGGAGAGTATGTACGCGCGCGACACACGCGAGATTGGTCAGAGCTCTTCTGGCTCTCGCATTCGCATTGCCACTTCTTCGTTTCTCGTTACCGGTCGTCTGCATAATGCACGCTCTCGGATTCGCGACCCTCCGCAATTTCGCGCCAGCGATATTTCAAACGGAGGAGACAGATGACGCCTAAATAATTTCTCGAGTAATATTATATGCTGAATTTTGTTTGAATCTCTTCTCAGAACGTGTTAAGATAAATTCCAAATTTAAATCTTCACACGTTATAAATCTCATTCTATTTGTTCGAGCGCGCGCGCGCAAGTGTGAGAAGCGTATGTCTATATATTAAAAGGAAAGAAAAGAGAGAGTATGTGTCATCCATTCTCTGTATTAAATTTTTCTTCTTTGAAAAACATGTTGTAAAAAACATCAAAGTTTTCTTATTAATCCAATCAATTTCATAATTAAATTGTAACGTCAGAAACATGAAATAAAAACCACCGCGAACATTGTTGGGTCAATAAGTAATTGCTCTTTGGCAATTCTTTTCGCGTTTGGTGTCACATATATCGAAAAAAAAGTTGAAAGCGTGCTTGAGGTTTTACTCGCGTCTATAGCGTCAGCGCGCGGCAGGCTACTTTCCAGAGAAATGCACCGCCGGTTGACAACCGAGCAAAGATTCATTAAGGTTAAGAGCATCACGAGGTCGCGGAGCGTTAATGGACTCGCGGCGAAGTATTTTCTTCCCGGATTTATTGTCGCGGCTCGTGAATTGTTGTTGTCCAAAAAAAAAGAAAAAAACATACGCATCGGCGAGCTGTGAATCATACAGACATTTATCCTCGCTTTCTATATTTCTGCTGCAGTTGCCTCGAACCTGCAATATCGAGCAGCGATGCTCGCTGCCTCTTCCTTTTATCAAGGAAATTTCCAGCTGCCTTTAATCACCGAGAGAGCACACGCGTTGTCGCGTGCCCTAAAATTTTCGCCGACAATCCGACGGGGAAAAAAAAAGATATCAGAGGAAAACGGGAACACTCGGTGCAACTTTGTTCGTAAGGTTGGCTTTTGCGCGAGAGCGGCAAAAAAAAAAATACAGATGGCGAGCACACATCGGTTGCAAAAAAGAAAAGTTCAGCGACGCGAACTGAAAACGATGCGTTATTCTCTTGTAATTTTATACGCTGAGCTTTACGTGTCCGGAAATAAAGTGACGCGCGTGCGCAAGCTGAAGAAAATACGCGGGCTGTGTGTATATTATGTATGTATGTACGTACGTATAACATCTCCGTTAGCTTCAATTGAGACGGACATAAATGTGCGAGCCGAGCGAGCCGAGTCGTCGGGATAAACTGTAGCGATTGTTACGGAGCTGCTGGTTCTTCCTATTATGCAAATGATCACGCTGGTTTGCGAAGAAGGCGAGAGATGCGAGAGACGTAAAGTAACGAGGTAACGTAACGAGGGTAGCGACGCAAGTGCACAGTGATATAATTGTGAACTTTTCAGTTCAAAACATACGTATTATATATATGTATATATATCCTGAAATTTCAACAAGCAACGTTCGCGTTAATTTCATTACACGGTTTGTAAATTCTGGCTTGATGAAAAGCCTTGATATTACATTCACTTTGCGAACGTTTACATTATTAAGCGACACATTTGCGCGGTGATTAAAAATTCATTTCTCACACGTTATTTTCAAGTAGCGTAATATTTTGATTTTTTTTTTTTTTTACTGTTATGTTTTTTTTACTTCTCCGTGTACGCAAATAAATTTATTATAATTTTTCTTCGCGATTCGTATTTCTCCGAATAATGCTCTTTTAACTTGAGCAATTTTTCCAACGTTAAAAACGAATCTCTGAAAATTGGCGCAAATTCTTTTTTCAAGCAAATATCGCACGAAATAAACATGTGTGTGAAAGTAACCGATTCAAAGAACACAGATATACACAGTTTACATATCTGTATTATTAACAGCAGTATTATTAACAACAAAGAGAGATTTCAACTTCGTATATAATTGCGTGTAATACAATTCGCGTCTAAGTACAATGCAAAAGCTAGAAACGGAAAAAATCTCTTTGTAACCCGAACGCGGCATGAGAACGAGCAAATACAGTACAGTTTGCAATACACGCGAATGCATAAAGCCACCGAGAGCGTTTAATATGCATTTACCGCGTGTATGCGAACGCGCGCGCATTTACGTCGGTGGTCGCGTGTGGGATTATTTTCCCGCTCGTTTGTACGCATTACGTTCATGCGACACATATTCCCGTGCCGCTTTTGCAGCAGCGGTTGGGAAGTGGTACAATGCCGAATGAAATCGAGTGTAGAAAATGCTCCGGTCATATCTTCTCCCTTTTAATTTCCCATCCCTACCCACACACACGCGCGCGCGCTGGGAAGCATGCGTTATCTTTTTTCCCTTTATCGACAAACGCAAATTTGCATCCGCCACAATAACAACGGGGGAGATACACACACGCTGTGTTTTATCGATGCTTTTAGCAAAAATTACGAAATTACCTCCGTCTGAAATCATCGAAAAGCGATGATTTTATTGTACATCTGTATACAGTCCTGCATTAAAGATATCGGAGATATCGTTTCCTCCTAATGAAAGTTAAATGACGTGAAATGAATAATTTCCATTTTCAATTTTCTTCTCTGTAAAAATCATCACAAACATTTATTTTTGCAATTCTCGCTTTGGTATAAATTCTGTTTCATTTCATCGCGTTTCACGCTTTCATCTGACATTTTCCGAAAAATTCTTTCGAAAAACATTCGTGTATTTCGAATGCAAACATCGTCGCTAAATCTCGCGACAAAAGCACGAGTGTCAATTATATGAAAAATGCGATAAACGCGCCCGCACATTCGTCTCGTGTGCGAGAAAACGCGCCGTCAAGAAATTAATCATGTTCTTGGGCAAAATTTTCTCTCCGTTTTCCGACGCGCGTTCTCCTCGGCAATCGTTTTCGACAGAGAGAAATGCAAAAGTTAAAGCGGAGACTAAATGTGCAAAGTTGGCTATTGTAAAAGAACGCGCGCGCGCGCGCGATAAAAGCGCGCTTATTTTTTCGCACTTTTGTGTCAGGCGTCGAGTCCTCTGAAAATAGGACAACACGACTGACGAAAGAGTGAGACGGCGCGAAAAGTTCACTAGGACACGCCGGTCTCACTCGCGAGACGTATTATTCCCCGACGTGGCGCAGAAATTAAAAATTGCAATTTACGTTATTTGCAGAGCGCACAGTCCCGTCTGAGATCATCATCGATCTCAGTTGCGTTTTTATAGACACCTCCGTTGTGCTGGCGCGTAATTAAATTATACATCGCTCACTGCAGTTTTGCTTTTTCTTAGATAAGTAATAAAATTCGGCAATTAAATACTTATTAGTACAGACAGTTGTTTTGTATTTTTTGTCTCGAAGTTTTAAATGTTTTTTAGCGAGACGATTTATATTTACTGTAAACATTCAGCTGGAACAAGTTCTTATTTCTACTCTTCACGAACAGATATCACGTATCGATCGTCGAATAAAAATTCGGCGAGCGTCATCGTGCGTAGCGCAAGCATACAGATTGATCGAAAACACATTGAGGCGTGCGCGTGCCGTGGGTATCGTGAACGCGCGCGCAAGTGTCTTTTAGCGCCGAGTAGGATGACCCACTGACCCGCCCCACTGATACGTGTGTGGAAACGCACACGCACGTATGCACGTTTCATGACGCGCGGCTAATTTTGATCAAGATTGATGCTAGGAGATTACAAGTATAAATGTTTGCCGAATCTTATTCGCGAGAGAGTGAACAAATAACTGTTATAAATTGATATGTCTTATTTTAAACTTGAGTTTTTGTTGCTAATATACGTTGTTGCGATAATACACAGAAGAAAAAAGCAATTGACAAAAGAACTAGTTACATGAATTATTACGGTGATTTTTTAGTCTTTTAAACGATCGTTAATCATGTACTTTTTTTTTCTTTTATTTATATCGTCGCGCTACGTCACAGATAAATGAGAATTGAGTAAGAGCGATTGTTATATATACATCATATATATGCATATCATATAACACACAGAGACACATACTCAAAACTCTCAAAACATTTCAACCTCTTGGGACTCAAAAAATAGTAACATCTTTGAAAGTTAAATACTTTTTTTTATATTTTGTTTTTTTTTTCATAAACTATTTTACAAAGAACTCTTTTTTGGAGAGGTTTTTAATCTCTTCAGAAGAACTCCAATTGGAACTACGCGATCGTTTGATCGACTTTAATCGAAAGATTTTTCTCGCGAGCGTTGAAGCTGATATTTTAACGAATCTATGTATCGCTCTGTATTACTTTTTGAAAAAAAGCGTCAAGTGGCCAACTGACCCGAACGCGATGATACGTATATTTCCAATTAACTGTCTGTATGGCGAGTCACAATCCCGGTGGTGGATCGCCGCGAAGAGATCCAATTTCCGGTCCGAAAAAGAAGAAAAAAAACGAGGAAATCGGATTCCCACCGGGACATTGGACACGGCGTCGCGACGCCGCCGCGAAGTCGCGCTCCTCGACGTGCCAAATCGAATCCTTCTTCCCGCACAACTTTCGTGCCCGCAATACGACGATCGAAATACCCGCAGAGCCGGTCACGCTTCTTGCAGCTCAGACGCGATCCAATAGATAGAGTTCGTCGTGTTTGCAACAAAATAGCGAAAACATCGAGGAGATGCAGCGGTGCTATATATTATACGCGTGAAAATATTTTTAACATGGTCGATATATACATATATACACATTACGCGCTTTGTTTACACTTTTAACGCTGATGAACACCGCGCCAGCGTTTCGGTACTTTTAGTCTCGAAATTTGAATAAATAAAACTCATACGTAATAGTTTTTACAATAACTCAATAGCAAGTTCAACGAATTTATTAACTTTTCCCGACTATCGCATTTGTGTTGCAACAAAAAAATCTCGTCTTTATTCTTTGTCTCGCGTCAGAAGCTCCAATTTTAAAACACCGTGTTGAAAAGTAATGCGATATGTATTTCTCGAGAACTTCCTCTTGAATTACCATCTACTTGAAACGGAACGGTGAACCTTTTATCGCGCAGGACTTGCATTCGCTCGGGAATGAATTTTTCACGAGATCTTACAAAAATAATAACGAGCAGAAGCAAAAGAGATGCGCGCGCCACGATGACACGTGCAGTTTCCCTCTCGTCCCGTAATTCGCTCGGCGGAAAATATTTTTCCGAGTGGAAAATATTTTCACGTACCTCTACATCTAGCGGTTGCGTAACATGGGACGCGACACAAAAGGACTCACCAGTTTTATTCTCGAAGGAGGACGACACACTCTGGCAAGACGCGCGGCACAGGAGCCCCGCCAGCAGCAGCCACCTAGATACCAGCTCGGTCGATCTCTTCGACATTGTCTGAAACAGTGACAAAAAGTGCGAATCAAATCGACCGTCGGATAATCATATCGCAAGATTTTCTGATCCGCTTGACGTACATCTCGAAGATCTGAATGTCGGATCGACACACGTCTCTCGTTTTCCGTTTTGCATGTAATCTATAATAACGGAAATCGACGACGATCGCGAGATCGTTTTTTAAAGACCGTAAAACTCTTGCACCGCGCGCGTCTCTCTATCATCGATACTCTTCTTCTTTCGTATAGTGCGCTTTTTACATCAATTCCTATTCCCAATAAATCAACCGTGCAGGAATATCGCGGAGCACATTATGATACATCCGTTAAATCGATCGATCTCGATACCACTCGAGCGACGATTTAATACACGTCGTCGAGCAGATCGCGGATGTCGATTTATGACGAGACGTTTTTGCGCCACGAAGAGAATCGTGACACTTTTATTTCGAGAGACAAATAAATCTTATACACGTACTTGGGTTAAAAAAAAATAAAAATAAAAATAAAAATAAAAAACAACGCCGTGTCGTTATTCATCAAGGAGAGTTTTTGTTTATCCGCAGGAACGGAACGGAACATCACGAATCGGCACTTGTGTTCGCAATACATACATACGTGAGACATATCGCAATGCATACGTGAGACACATCGTGCTCTCCTCGTCGTTTGCGATTGCGCGCGCACAAATCTAATTAATTCATCTAATTGGCTATCCAGAACAGCAGTCGGCCGATGCGATCAATGGATAGGATGATGCTCGACATTAATTACAAACGTATAAATACGCGCACACACAACTGGAAATATCTGCTCGATGGGGCGGAATAAAACACACGGATATTGTCCTGCAGCCAAATACAATAATAAGAAGAGAAAATATTAATTTTCTACAATAATTGTGCGCTACTCTATTGTTTACACACAAAAGCATGACAGCGAAAATTAATTTCATTAATTAAACTCAGTCAAGCGTGTTGATGTTAGTTTTAATAGAAAAAATTATATTCGCAACGCGAAATTATTCGCTGCTCGTCTCAACGCGCGTCTTTATTTTTGTATTTCCGTGTGAAATGTGCGCGTGGAAATACTCGCGAATAAACGTCTGACGTGTGTTTACACTTAAAATTCTTTCGAATTTCCTCCGCATTTATCGCAAGTCGTTTGTTAAAGCGATGCGCCAAAGAGTAGTGCTTCTGCTGAGGTTGCCAAGTTTCCGTGCCCTCCTGTAACTTCAGTTGTTTCGTTGCCAATGTTCTGTCAGAAATTACATATCGTACGGAAATGCATTATGAAATGTTTTCCACAGAGAGACAAAGAAGCTTTATGCATTGTTACGTACGGCTTTTGATTTATAACTGAACGATATCTTTTTCACGTAAAAAAAATGTGAATTTTCTTTTTCGAAGAGCAAGAGAAGGAGAGAGAAAATTCATTACAGCGACACGTTTACGTGCGAAAAGTTGAGTGAAATAATTTGTGCGATTCTGTTCGATACGCGGGAGTGGCGTGAAAACACGAGTAGCTGTCGCGGCCACGGTTTACGATGTTTCGACGGAAGCGTATATAAAACAACACTAAAACTAGATGGAAACCCACGACCCGATGTGACTATTTCCCGACGAACTTTTGCTCTTCCGTCGTGTAACACGACGAGCGTAATATAGACGTACATACAAGCCAGAAGGAACGGATTTGTCATGGGAAGGAGTTTTTCATGTCTTGTAAAGAGCGAGTCGCGTAAAGACTGTTGTTAACCGACCTCCCGTTTTCGTCATCCACCCACCTTTTACTACTCGCGAGAGCAGATATTGCGGGGGAATAATTTCCGACGGGATCGTGATCTGCTCCAATCGACCGGCGCAATCGTCAAAATTGCGTTCCCACGACCACGAATGCGTAGCCGAATTCCCGCTGCGAGTTTTCCCTCGAGGGGATTCCGCTCGACGTCAAAATCTCGATGCGAATAAATTTCGATCACAAGCAAGAGCGCGATCGTGTTGGACAATGAAAACTTCAATTTTTAGAAACTTAAAAATATATATGTTTTGTGAATATAACAAATGTATGCAACGTTATAAAAAATACTCTCGATTGTTTTGAAAAATTAATTTCATAAACGGAACTGAATGTTTTGTCCGAAGTTTTTAAAATAAATATCGTATAAATTTTCAAGATCGAGGACAGCCGCGCGAATTAAGCGGCGTTTGTCGATCGACTTCGTGAATTCGATCGTACCTGTTAACGACGACTTTGAGAAAGTCTTTGAAGCGGAACCGCCACAAGATGAAGCGAGTAGTGCCGTGTCAGCTGGATTACTGTCGCTAACCGCGAAAATTATACATTCGTACGCACACACAGAAAAGAATGTGTGTGTGTGTGTGTGTGTCCTCAAGTAACAGAGGAGAAGAAAGAAACGAACGAGAGAGATCGTTTGTCTAAATTTCGCAAAAGACTTCGCGGCTCGAAAGGAAATCTACGGGTATTGGCTTCGCGCGTTGTGCAGCTTCATACATATAAAGTGACGGGTTAGAATATTCCGCGCATGAGCCGCATATACGTGAATACGGATATAAAGATGGAGGTCTCACACATGTAACAAGCGCGGCATCCATTCGAAGGTTTCGCATACTAATAAGTTAATAAGCGGCTATCTTTAGCTCGGAGACATCGAAGACCTGTCGAGAGGTCGTAATCTAGGAATAATGCACTCGTACCGGAGAAAGTAGGATATCCTGTGAAATACAAGCCTCCGGTACTCTTATGTGAGACCGATCGGATCGTGCCACCTGGAGCACTCCTCGCTGACGATAATGTTCAATCCGCGAAGCCGGTTCTTCATCGTGAAAACGATCGAACTATAAAATCGACCGATTCGGCGAAAGATGTTGCGTGCGCGACATCTTTATTTAATCAAGCGACAAGCTCAGATTTAATCACAAAGAACACACAAACTTCACCAAGTTTTGTGATAATCTTCGAAGATTTTCTCATAAATTATCATCATTTTATTTACAGACATCGTGCGCGAGTTACACATTTTGAATTCGAAGATTTGGGACGCGTCGTCTCGCGAGGCTCAGAAGAAATTCTTCGACACTTCGAAACACGTGTTTTTAACACGTTCCGCAAAACTCCAGTCAAATTTACTCGCCGACGCAGTTAATTACAGTCAAGCCGGTTTTAACGCGCTGACTGTTTGTTTGCATAAACGTACAAGACGACACGAAAAGAAATGCGCGATACACGAGAGTGTTACATCAGGATGAAAAAAAAATTCTCGAACGTCTTTATATTCGTTAATTAATTCGTGAGGAGAACGACGATGCCGATTCCGATGAGTTTGGAATGGAGAAAATTTACGCTAACGTTTATTGGCAAACTCATCGACCGACGGTGAAACTTTCACCTGCGTCAATTGCGAATGAATCGGCTCACTGTCAATGCTCGTTTAAAAGATTATTTCCGCTTGTTATAGACACTTTGTATTTTTTATCTTTTTGTAGTCTAATGCAGTGGTTCTCATAAAAATCAGTTTAAGTTACTTGAAAAACCCCAAAAATTACATATTTTTATTTCTATTAATTCGCTACTTTAATAAAATTACAATCTCGGTTTATTCAAAGACATAATTAAAAAATAAGGCCGCAATAAAGGGCCAGGCGGTTTTTTTTATAAGACGAAAGTTCACCAAAGTCTCTTCCGTCGTATTTGCACGCGGAATCGCGAAGTAACGAGACACACGTGATAACGGTAGACGCTGCTTCGGGCGCCGATCTCCTCTTTCGAACAAGATTGCCAGAAAGAAGGAGCAAGAGAGAAAAGAAGAGAAAGGAGAGACAGAGAAAAAGACAGAGAGGAAACACACAAACGAATGAGCAAAGGAGACCGCTTTGTGCGAAGCCGCCGGTAAAATCGGCGACATCCGACCTTGAAGATCGAATCGGGATCACGACAGTCTCGACAATCTTTTCCAATCGTGTGTGACGACAAGACAGGAAGAAACTTTTAACGTTTTAAATTAGAATTTGGAGTCGACAAAAAAAATGATTTTGATAATAGCAATTTTAGGATAATTTCACACACAGGCGCGCGCGTATCGTTTGATCTGAGAAGTTGTGAAAAAAAGCCAGAAAATAAAAATGTAGAAGATTAATCTCTAATTCAATAGATTGAAATTCGAAATTATATGCTAATATTTCTGCGACGGCAATTAGTCACGGCTTATAAATTACAAAAGCGGAATATTAAATACAAATCATTACGTTATATATCTTGCATTTCTAATCTCTAATTCAAAGTCTAATTCTTATTCAAATGAGAAAGAGACTTATCTCTACCACGTAACGCGCCGCGAGCTGATCATATTTATCTGCAATTTCTTACTGATACATGTTGATGAAATATTAATTCAAAATTAGGTTAATATCTAATTTACTCCAGATTTTCCGCTAGATTAATTTAATTAGATTAATGTGACCTTAATCTCGGATTTAATCCTCTATTCGTATACGCTCACGCGCCTTATTTAATACCCGCATCAGAGAAGAGAATGACATTCCTCTTTTGTAACTAATACACACGTACGTACACGTGCGCACACGCGTGCAACATAACGAGACAGATAAATTACTCACAAAACTTTCTAAACGATAACTAATTAATAATTAATGCGCGTTTATGTTCACATTTGCTATAGATCGAAAGTCTTCGGAAGGAGAAAATATCAAAAGGACGTGTCTCTGGGGATCTATACCGATTTCTCGCTGCCACGCGATTAATGCTAATCAACCAAGTCACTCTCTGCAATCTCTACGTGATAAGAAAAGAATATATACAAGACACGAGATTAAATATATAGATACAAGTATACCAGGAAAATAAAATTATCGTGAGAAAGCGTCGTGCGTGTAATTGAAATCGAAGAATGATTACCGGCTTCGATTCTGTGCGATTTCATCTGTTAAACAGAATTTTATTTACTTGTCTGCCCGAGATGTT